TTAAGGGATTCTTCGAAACACGCTTATTCTCATTATAGAGGGACAACAAAATGTCAGCCATAGTTTGCGAAGAGAAAACTAATACATAATTTAGAACTCATTTTAAAATACAAACAAAAAAATCTAAGTAGTTTGAAACTATTTAAATTTAAAAAAGTTGATACTCACCGATCCGTCGAGTGCTAGGATTTTACAGAAGCATTGACGAGAGAGAAAAGATCCAGACATGTTGCAGAGATCATTCTGAAAGAAGAATAAAGGGTAAATGGTTTCAGACTAAGGATTTTAGTAAACTTTAAAATCTACGTGGCTTCAGCTTAGATTATGGCTGAATAATAGTAAGACTTAACAATTTAAACTATATTTATGTGCAGGCATAATAATGGATCAATAATATAATAGTAAGAAGATACCATATGGATAAATTTGCAGAATATAATGTGGCAAACAAAAAAAAGAAGTATTCTTAGCGCTAACATGTCCTTATGAAGGATAACATAAAAAATGGCAAAACTCCATACTTAAGCCTTCTGGCGAGATACTTCGCTCATTGCAGAAGTAACACTTAAGGTTTTAAAGGGATAATCTATGCTGTAACGGAAATGGTAAATGACAAGAATGTGGTGATAAGAAGATCTTAAAAGAATCGCGCGAAGACGATGGCATAGACATCAGCTAAAAATTGTTAATAATTAAAAGCGTTCTAATTAGTCTCAAGAGGCATATAGTATCTTGGTATTTAATATGCATTGACTATCAGTAAAAGCGAATTGCAGCAGGTCGAAGATTAGAAGCTGAAATGTAACATCAAAATCCATCCAAATTAAAGCGAGTGAGGCAGCTAAACAAGCAATTTTTGGTGATAGACTCACTGAGTCAGAAAGTAGGCTTTTCAGACCTCCACGAAAGCCTCTTCCCATTTGTGCACGTCTCGGTGTACTTGATTGTCGACTAATGACATGGGGCTGATTTGGTAGCCCAATGGCGAGATTGAGTCCCTGCACAGTTGCCACAGGAAGTGAGCTAGAGCCTGAAATTGCGAGTGCAGCTTTCACAGCACCAGCATATGTAACAGAGTTATTAAGGGAAGCAGGGAAACAATTGGCATCTGTAAGGACGGAGCAAGCTTGTCGCATAGAGATCGA